ACTCGAAGTCAAGGAGGGTGATATTTTGCAATGGCTTGTGGACATTGTTATTCCAAGGCCACCTGCTCATATGCTTATAAATGCTTCCTGTTAAGACTGTATATAATTCTTCATACCTCCAAACTATCTTATTTGTTTGCCACCAACGCTTATGAAACAAGCAAAGCAGGCATGAATAATCCCACGTTATGAAATAGCTTCCCTGCTAGATTGACTCACTTCTCCCCCGTATGAAAATCCGTTTTACCTTTTATGTGCGGCTGTTTTTCAGTTTGACAGCAGCCGCCTGGCCTTCCTGCGCCGTGTGACCGTGAAAGAGAGCTTACGCTTTGGGGTGCGGGTGATCTGGTTGAGTTGAGAGAAAGGGCTGTTTTCACATGCAGGGTCTGGGCGTGCCCCGTCACCCACACCAGCTGCCCTGAGCACTGGGGCATGGCGGGAACCCGTTCCTCGTGCACAGCCAAGCACGACTTAACAGAAATGTATTTTTGAAACAAAGTTCCAACCCCACGTGACACAGCTTAGCTCTCAAGTCCTGGGTTAGCTTTTGGCGATCAGTCTACCAAGTCAAGGAAAGTGTGACCATGTCAGCTTCCAAAGCTTGTCTCATAGGTGTGGCCTCGTGCAACCAAGAGGAGGCATTGGAAATTTACGCCATATGTGGAAATCCCACCAGCTTGGCACATTTGAACTCTTCCCAAGATACAGTACGTTGGCCACACTGCTTAACATCTAGGGGGACTCAGGGTCCTCACTGTAGAAAATGCCATGGCCAGAAAGGCTTTCTGGGACCTTCTGGGACCTTCTGAGACCTCTGTGACTCACCGTCTCTCAGATTTCATGATCCGAAGGGCTTGAGTGGCTGAGGTGGGGGATGGCCTGAGGATGGTGATGACTAAGGAGTTCTTCTGAGGGAGGGGGTTCACCTCCATCCCCAGCCTGTACGCCTCGGCCTAGACTGCACCCTCCCCACATCCCACAGGCCTTCCCCGAGGTCTCTGTCCTCCCTGGAGGCAGCAGCCCCCCTTGGGCAGCACAGTGGGTGTCTCTCTGCTTGGGACTCAGGTCTCATTCCCCGAGTAAGGGAAGGGTGGCACCAAGGCACACCTGCTGGGACAAGGAGGCTGAGCCGGGGCGGCCGGCACCACCAGCGCAGCCCTGGTTCTGCTCGCTGGTCCCCACCCTGCCGTGGGTGACATTTTCTTCTCTTGGTGACCTCGTCTGCCCTGTATCACATGAAACAACAGTTTGAATTCTGGTCCTGCCCTCTCCTGCCTGCAAAGGGAAGAGGGCCCTGGGGAGTGGGAGCTTTCACCCTCCTCCATCTGGGGTCCAGAAGGTTCCAGAAGGTTCCTAGTTTACAAGCCCACCAAACACCACCCGTGCTGCAGCCTGGACTGGGTGGTGGAGCTGCACCGTCTGGAATCCGACCCAGATGCAGACCTCACTGAAGAGAGGCGGGCTCAACAGAGGCCCATGGCTCCAGGATGCTGGGGTCCCTGCACTGGGACCCGGAGTGGTGTTACTGCTCCAGGTGAGCAGAGGACTCACTCACAGAGCCGGGCTCTCCTGATGCCCACCCGGGCCTCCCAGGCCCCCTGGGCAACTGTAGCACTGCCTTGTCTGGAGCCACAGTGTCACTGAGCTGTGGGCTGGGCCTCCCTTGACGCCGAGGGCGGGACACCGCGGCAGGCTGCCCGCCGGGTGCGCTTCTCCCTGCTGGGCGGTGGGAGTGGCGCTGATGCGCGGTCCCTGTCTTGCAGGATCAGGGCCAGGGACAACGGCTCTTACGCCCTGTGCCTGCTGCACGAGGGGAAGGTGCTGCACTACCGCATCGATAAGGACAAAACCGGGAAGCTCTCCATCCCCGGCGGGAAGAATTTCGATACGCTCTGGCAGGTAGGCGTCCTCCTCGGAAACGAGGGGCCCCGGCCCCTGGACCTTGTTAGAAACGTTCACCTGGGCCCCCGAGGACACCTGGCCCAATCAGAGTCTGCTTTTTGACCTCCAGGTCCCTGGAGGCACTGGCCTAGGGCCATCACGTTAGGTGACGGAGGCTCGCAGAGCTTGTCCGGGGCCCCTCGGGTCTCAGCACCACGAGGCGGTACCCGCTCGGGTCTGCGCTCTGTTTAACAGGACACCCCGCCCTGGGGGCTGGAGGCATTCCTTTCTGAGATGTTCTCCTGGAACCAAATACACCCACAAAACAGGTGTGGATGGCTGGGAAGGGAGGCCCAGGGGCAGTTAATCGGACTGCTCTTTGAGTTGTGAGAGGCCCAGTGGAATATATAAGGTCACATTCTCACTGCAGAATGAATCTTGTTGCAAAATTAAGGGAACGTAGAAAGCAGCCAGCATTTCCTGTGCTTCAGGCCGCCCTGGTCTTTTTCAGCCCTGGTCTGTAAAGGGGTTATTCTTAACCCACCTCATAATAAACCCAGAAACAGCTCATCACTGGGGAGCTCCTTCAGCACTAATGGGCCCTGATCCGAGGTCCATCCCTCCTTCCGTCGGGCCACGGTGAGCACGAACACCTTGGCTTCATTCCAAATCACAGCTCCACGAGGGAACAGCAGTCACCGTACTGAACGCATCGCTTTTAGCAAAGCATCCTAGATGGAGCCAACCAAGGGACCCTGCCACCCCAAGAGCAAAACTGCAGTGAGCTTTTGTAGGTGAGGGACGTCAGCGGGGGGCGTGTTCAGATGTCCACACGCGGGCCCCACCAGGAACCTCGTGTGTGGAAAGGACCCAACTCAAAATGTGATCTTTTTCAAAATTAAAATCAAAGATCCACATTACCTTTAAAGCACTTAGCGCAGCCACCGCATGGTGTATCTTGGTTCCTAATGCTGTAGTTGGAAAAAAACTCTTCTTTTTGGAGTGCTGGGTATTAGAACGTTGATTCATATTAGCCATCACACCGACACTGTCTTTTGGTTTGTGGCTCATTCGTATATAGCTTATGACGGGCCACAAACTTAGCTTTATTTCAATGGTGTCGCTCTGTAAGAGCATTTAGCCTACTGGGTGCTAGTGTCCAGTGGGAGTCAGAGCGATGAGCAGGGAATGTCGCCTTCTGGGATTAACTTCCCAGCGAAGCCTCTCACCCCCCACGAGCACTGCTGACGGTGTGCATTTAAAGGCACCGGCTGGAGTCCATCTGCCAGCCCGATGCTTGAAGGCCTGGGGCGCCATCGCTGGCACGCGGCCACTTGGCTTCTGATTGACCGCCTTCCCTGCGTGAGTCCACTCACGGCCTCCAAGCCCGCACGCTCACCATAGTGTGTACAACGTCCCTAATCGCCGGAAAGTCCCTTCTTAAGACTTTCTCCTGTATTTTCTGATCCGTCCAGCGAATCGTAGTATTGAGCCTTGATTAAATCTTTCCCATTGTATATATATTGAAGAAAGAGCATCAAAAAATGCCGCAGTACCTCCCACTTTTACAAGCGGGGTTTCACTGGTTTTCCTTGACAGCGGCATCAGATACCTCTGTGTCCTGCCTCCACCCGGGAGTCTGGTGCCATTTTTCTGACGGTCGGTGATTGCCACACCACCCTGGTCTTCCCTTCTTTACAACAAGCGTCCACACACCAGTGGACCAAATCTGGCCCTTTTTGTTTTTGTTTTTTTTGTGTTGTCCTCGAAGAAAATGGATTTTATACTTAATTTTTTTTAATTCTTACCTTTTTTTGAAGCGTAGTCGATTTACAACGTGAGTTTCATGTGTACAGCAAAGCGATTCACTTGTCCATATACATACATCCATATATTTTTGGATTCTTCAGCATTACAGCTCATTACAAGAAACTGAATATAGTGCCCTGTGCTACACAGTGGGTCTTTCTTATTTATCTGTCTTATGTACAATAATGTGTATCTAATGTGTATCTAATCTCCTAGTCTGTCCCTCCCCCCAGCCCTTTCTCCCCTGGTAACCACAGTTTGATTTTTGTGGCCATGAGTCTACTTCTGGTTTGTAAATGCAATTTGTATCTTTTCTTAAAAAATACACACAGGACTACGTGACAGAGATGGTCTGTGGACTGAAAAAGCCTAAAATATCACTGTCTGGCCCTTTACAGAAAACGTTTGCAGATCCCTGCCCAAGAGGGGAGCCTGCTCTCACGTGTATGCCCGCCTCCCAGCCACCCTTGGAGAGTAGGTGGTAGGAAACACTGGCGTGTGAAGAGATACTTAAATGACGCTGGAGAGATGGACAGGCTGTTTCAGCTGTTTCAGGGACCTCCACACTGTCAGCCTGAGCACACACTATCGCATTTAACAGAGCAGAAAGGGAGCTTTCGTGTCCATTTCGGTAGCCTGTTAGAGCTGGCCAGGTGGAAGCATTTGCTAAGAGGGTGGATCTCATGTTGTGTTCTTACCACAATGAACTAACATTTTATAAAAAGAATGCCACCTGGAAGGGTAAAATGTATCTCATTCAGCAAACATTCACCCAAATAGGTAAGTTTTGGGAGGAAAGAGGAGTCAGGAGCAAGGAGTCCTTAACTGGAAAAGGTAGCAATAAACAGATAAGGAAGAGAATTCAGATCTGAAGATTTTAGCTTGTCTGAAGACGAAGTATCAGTACAAGAAAAGAAAATGTGAACACTGAGACTGTGTTCCTAGCACATAATTTTGATTAGATATGAATAAATCTTCTTGCCATTAATTTATATTTCGACGTAGAAATCAGACACTGTAGCTCAGTTTTCTGGGAGCCATTAGTCTGTGTTTTGTCAACATCAAGCCATTCTCCAAGGTCACCATTCCCCAGGTCCCAGCTCCTGTGTCACCTGTGCTGGGACATCTTCTCTCTGAAACATTTGGGCTGAATTATCGGGTCCCTCCAAAGCCTTCTCCCACAGCGCGCTTCCAGCATTAATCACTCTCCATTGTGATTCATTTATCTGTCTCTCCACCAGGAAAGATGCATCTCATTCACCGTTGTTTATTTTTTGTCCTATCTCCGGGCCTAAGCACACAGCAGAAGTGTTTGTTGAATGACTGAATAAATGAGTGAGTGTTAGCTTGCTGAATGCATTGTCATAACATCACACGGATATAGGAGAATATAAACAAAGAAATGCAATGCAACTGACCAAAAAAAAAAAAGAAAGAAAGAGAAAGAGGGTGAGTTGAGACCGGTAGGGTCTGCGTGGGAAGGTGGCATGTGGCCTTCTGTCCAGAATCTGAGGGTGGCAGGGGAGAGGCACGGGGAGAGATCAGGAAGACCACCTAGGAAGTACCATTTTTTTAATTGAAGTCTGGTTGATTTTATAATATTGTGTCAATCTCCAGTGTACAGCATGGCAACTCAGTTATACACACACACACACACATATATTCGTTTTCATATTCTTTTTCATCATCGGTTGCTACAAGGTATTAAATACAGTTCCCTGTGCTGCACAGTAAGACCTTGTACCGTTGTTGTTCAGGGCTGTCCCCGAGCCATTTTTTGAAGTCCGAAAGAGGAGTCCAGGTCAGGGTTGCTCCATTTCCTGCCTCGGTCATTAATTGTACGTCCTTACTGTTTTCTTTTCCAGCTAGTGGAGCATTATTCTTATAAGTCCGACGGCTTGTTGAGAGTTCTTACAGTTCCATGTCAGAAAATCGGGCAAACGGGTGAGTAGCCGAGACACGGGGGTCTCAGTCTCTCCGATGCTGCTGACAACCGGCCTCGTTCTCAGTCTGGTCTGTTGCAAATCCAGGTGGGACGAGGCAGTTGTGTCCTGCTGGATTAAAATGATGCTGGACTGCTCCAATCTTAAATATATGTGTCATTCGTCAAATACAGCTGATACCTTTAAAAAAACTAATTCATTTTCACTGCTTATGTGAGAAAGGTGAGTGAAAGAGGATAAAAAGGAATGTGTGCAGAGAATGTCCCTACTTCTCCAGCGGTCACAGCGCACAGTTGCAGTGATGGATCTGCAGTGGAGGGGGTGGACATAGGGGGTTCTCACTGACGCAGCACTAATTGTCCGCGTTCTTTCTGACCAGGCAACGTAAACTTCCGTCCACAGCTGCCAGGCTCCCATCCTGCGGTAAGTGTCATTCAGCGGCACCGTCAGAGGTGGGGCAGTTGTAAACTAGCACAGTGGAAAGCACGTTTTAGATAGCGGGGAAGCAGTGACGGTTTTTATCACCCTCAATAAACTGGGATCGCTGATGAGTGTCGGCTAGAAGGTTAAGTTCCCTCCGCTTTCTAAAAGTGTACACAGTGACCATGCGCCCCAGTGTTAAGTCAGACGTACGCCTCCTGGCGGATTTGGGAAACGGTCACGTGCTCTTCAGGGTCAGCCCTGACCTGGTGATGTGGAGCCCCGTGCACAAGCCACATGGCCATGTGTGCGATGGAGCGGTGAGCCTGGTATACAAGATGTAAGGCTATCGCACGGCGGTAGAGGGTGCGCTTGGAATGTCTGAGGTCCTGGGGTCGATCCCCAGTACCTCCATGAAAACAAACATAGACAAACCTAATTACCTCCTCCCCCCAAAAATAAAAATAAGTCAATTAAAAGTACAAATAATAATGATAAAGTAGTGGGCCAAAAAAAAATTTTTTAGAAAGATGTCTCCCTGAGGTTGACTGCCCAACTCTTTTGGTTAAATCACCCAACACACTGTTGTCAGAGAGCTCACCCTTTCCAGGAGAGCTGCTTCGGCAATAACTCAGTGGAGGAGGGCACAGGATGGGGGGCGCTCGGGGCCATGACCTGAGGGACAGCCCTAGAGAAGGATGGAGCTGGGGGCTTGGCCGGAACCCCCCTCCCCTCCAAGTCAGTGGGTGGGAGACTGTGGCCTGGCCACACTTCTCCCCGTGGATTTGCCTCCTACATGCCTGATGCCCCGAAATTGAGAGGATCCTGGCTCTCTCCTCCCTCCAGACTGTTAAGAGCTGACGCACAGATTTATATTTAAAGCAGGAATGGCGTCCTGCCTACCCTGCCCATGGTGGGGACTGCTGACTGCTCAGAAGCTGTGTCCGCACTGAAACAGGAAGGCCCTCCCAGGGGCGGCACCTGTCCCCAGACTGGGGGAACTGGAATTTGCTAAAATACCCATGATCTTTGGCGTCAGCCTCTAAAATATAGCACCTTTATGGAGTCATCGTTTTATTTCACCCTTTACGTGGCCCATGGGCCCAGCCAGCCAACTTGAAGGCTGTACCCTCCACGAGACAGATCCGTTTTCCTCTGAGCGGCATGAGGGCTTCGGGCTGAGAACTCTTAAAAGAATAGGAAGCCCTCTGCTCAGTCATTCATCACATAACGGCTTCAGGAAGTTAGACATTTTGGAAAAAAATTTTCACTGACCAGTGAGATACATCCAGGAAAAAAAAAAAAAAAGCATGTTCCTTAAGGGTCCAACTCGGTGAATTTCCACAAATGTCACAGAAGCAGCACATGGAAGAAGTAACAAAATCAGGCACTCAGGTTTACTTTTAGTTTCCCCAGGACAATTTGTCTTGAGTTTGGGACTTAATAATTCTATATGAAACGCGGGCTAATTAATGCAAAAGCTCGTGTCTTATAGCCGCCCATGGGAAATATTGCCAAAATGTGTTTCCAGCTCCTGCTGCTCAAATGGCAGGTTTTCCTGGAGTCTCCCCACGATCAGGTGTCGCCCACCGTGCGTCTCATCAGCAGAGTCTGGCGGGGTGATCACAGAGCAGGTTAAAACAGCTTGTCATGTGACGAACGCAGCCTGTGTTTTCTGAAATATTTACTGTTCCTCTTTGCCGTTGTGGTTTCTAGACTTGGTCAGCGGGCGGAATAATCTCAAGAATCAAATCGTACTCCTTCCCAAAGCCTGGCCACAGAAAGGTGCTAACGCGTCCCCGCCCGCTGTCCCCGAGTGGTAGGACCGACCCGCGCTCGGCCCCACGCTCTGCCCTCTGGCTGCCCCTCCGTGTGCCCTGCTGCTGACGCTCCCGCCGCCGCGGTCTCCTGTCCCCGCCGCGTGTAGCCCTGCTGGGCGGCCCACGCCCCAGCCTTCACTGTGCTTTCTGTGTGGGTCCGAGTCACTTCGCTGCCGTGTCCATCACCGTGAGCGCAGCTGTCTGCTAACATGTGCTCTGGAAAGTCACTTCGCTCAGGGTGACGGGTGGGAGGGAGCTCTCACCCGGGAAAGTCTTTTCAGAGGGAGCTGAGTCACTTTTGAGTCGCCGGAAGCACGTGCTGCGGCGTGAGGGTCATTGACTAGGTAACTTACATGTTGGTGGAAGGAATGCCGAGGTTGTGTGGGTCCCACCCAGTGACAACTCAGGATCCATCCCTTTTATAAATGCCACGTGCCGTGGTAACTTCACGGTGGCTGTAGGGTTCCGACACAGAACTTTCAGTGTAACGTGTAGGAAGACGAGATGGAGTTTGAGAACTAGAAACACCACTTTTATTTATGGGACAGTAAAGTGGACATTTGGCTGTACGACAGGATTATGAGGGAAATAAAAAGATGTTGTTTTTAGAAGACTTTTACTTATAATGAATCACCTCCCTCAAAAAGAAAATATATATATAGCATGCATGGATTGCTTTTTGTTTTTCACTGTGGTACAGAATTAATTACTTTATTAATCATTCTTCCCATGTTCATATCAGTTAGTAGTTTTCCAAACATTTCAGCATGTAACTGAGCATCAGCTCATGAAGCAGATTGCCTAAAGTACTTGTTAGAAACAACAGAACTAAAAGACGCGGAAGTCCTGAGATTTAATTTCCAGGTGGGCAGTCTTAGTTTCAGCGTTCCCAGCCTTGCTGACCATAGAACAGAGAAGTGCGTTGAACGTGGTGTTTGATGGGAAGTTCTGTGATGAACCCGGATGGAGTGACTGTCTATTATGATGGCTGCCAGGCAGCATGGATCACCTATGGCAGGGCATCACTTTTGGGAGGTGACAGTAGGGCTGCCCACGCACGGGTGGCATGTTAGGGGCTGGGGACCAGGTTGTCAAGGCAAAGCATGCTCTCTGTCCATGTCCCTTCTGCCCCATGACCTGGTGCCTGTTTCAAGAGGCTTTGGCCTTGAGCAAGTAACACCGCCCACGATCCAAGGTGAAACTCTCCACAGCTGCCGCCTCTGGCCCACGTGGCCCTCGACCCCAGTGAGCATTCGCCCCTTCTCCTTGGAGAGGGCTCGCTCCGTGGCCAGGGTGCCATCTCACGGGACCATAGTCCAGGGAGACGTAGGCCAATTGGTGCCCCCATCAGCCAAGGGGATTCAAAATGTGTTCTGGTTCAGGGTGCTTTCCAGTCGTGAGTCATCCTTTCAAGAGTCCTTAGTCACCTCCTGCACTGACACAGCTCCATGGAACACCCCAGGGCAGGACCCCGGGCAGGCACGGTGCCCCTTCAGCAGACCCGGACCACCTCCCTCGCCTGGCTCCCTTGGCTAGGAGCCCCGGTGGGTGCTGGCCACACCCCTGGCTCCCGCAGTTTGTTTGTCCAGCATTCCCTTTAGGACATGTGCCAGCGCACAGCCCTCTGCCCACCTGCAGTCCCAGAGATGAGCGGTTTCCCTGCAGGGTAGATGCTGCATTCCACAGGTATCGCAAGTCTGTGGCTTCCAAGGGCGTCATTCAGGGTTCATCCAGGGGGGCACGGCCATTTGGAGATTTATGTATAAAACGCACACACACACACACACACACACACAGATGTATTACCAGGACTTGCTTTACACAACTGTAGGGGCAAGTTCACTGTCCACAGGGCAGATCATCAGGAAGGGAGGACACCAGGGTATTTTATTTTTAATTATCTCAGGCAAGGCTGAAGCTGTCATTCACAGCCTCTCCCCCAAAGCCGCCACCTTTCCCCTCTTAGTAGAGCTGCAACTCTCTTCTGAGGACTCTCAACTGATTAAGGCAGGCCCACCCAGGGACATCTCCCTAAATTAAATCAACTAATTAGGAATTTTAAATACTTGCAAAATCTCTCTGCAGCAGTGCCAGGATCACTTGTATCACGAACACAGGAATATAGTTCAGGCGAGCCAGGCCAACACAGCAGAAAGCCATCACCCCAGGAAACAGTAACCCAGCACTGTTTTTGGGGACAAAGCCCACTCCCACCCCTGTCCTTTTTCCAGGCAGGCTGAAGCCAGCTCAGGCCACCCATGGTGGCTCTAGGAAACAGCCAGAAAATACGTTTTAGTAGATCTTTAAGGTAAAGAACACGTCTGAAGAAGTGTCAGTAAGACTATCTAAAAATAAAACATATGCATGAATCATAACCACATCATCAAAAGAGATATAGTAAACTTGGAATAGTCATTAGCAATGATGATACAGATAGAAGGTTAATCTCTTTAATATATAAAGAGACTTTATAAATCAATAAGCAAAGGTTCAGCCACCTAACAGGTTAATGGGCAGAGGATAGTTCATAGTAAAGCGAACATAAATAGCCCTTAAACGTAGGAAACGCTGTTCCCTTTCATTGTAAGAGAAATGCAAGTTAGAACTATGCTGCTCTCTTACGTCCATCTGTGAAACGGACCCAGATAAACAAGCTTGGTGTCACAGTGTGCAGCAAGGGTGTGGTGAGTGAGCCTGGCCACACTTTACTGGAGAAGTGTGAAACGATGCAATCTCTAAGAAAGGCAATTTCACATCTGTCAAAATCAAGAGCTCACGTAACCTCTTCACTGCAGTCCTATCATCTGGGTATTTTTCATACATTTGTGTGCAATCGCGTTCATGCGGAAGTGTTTGTTCTGACATTGTGTAATGGACAAAGTCTGGAAATAATTTAAAAGTCAGCCGATGGGAAGTAATGCAGTCAGTCACAATGACATCCATACTGTGATGGGTAGCTGGGATCTAGAATTGTTTCCGAAACACAGTGTTAACTGAAGACCCCAATTTTATGCACAGATATGTGCTGATGTAGTACAGAATGTTCTAGAAGAATACAGAAAATGCCGATAACCCTAGTTGCCTTGGGCGTAGGAAATGGGGTGTCAGGGAGAACCATGTCGTAAACCCTGCTGGGCCTGTTTAAATTTGCCCTTGCTAAAATTGTTTAACCAATTTTAAAAGACAATTAAATATTAGAAACTAATTAATCTGATGAATACTGTGAAAATACTTTTCTGGCAAAAGAAAAAAAGGCTGTTGTCTATTTAAGTTTATAACAACTTTGAAGTATGCATTGAATTTTCATAGATGCCAGAAATATCAGTAGTTAATTGATGAAAAAAGGGATTGTGTGATTTAAGCAGTGGATTAAAAATATCTTAATTGCTCATCAGAAATATTTTAGGAGAACTAATCCTTATGTTTTCACAAATAGAAGGAGAAATTTCCATTGTTTAACCAGAGAAAAAAACTTGTGGGCATTATGTCAAATAGCCCATCTGTTAAGCTAAGGTGCAAATAACTTGCGTGAACTTGTTAATTTGCTCAACGTAAGTAGCTGTTTTTTAATGATTCAGGCACAGCAAGTGCATGTTAGAACTTGAAGTAACTCGAGTATGTAGTTAATGACAAGTACGTTTGGATCTGCAGGACATTAATTACTCAGAATATTAATTGTGCAGACTATTATTAAACAGGTAATTTGAAATTTCACGAAAACTTAACGGCAGGTGTATTTTTTTCTCTTCTTTAGTAAATTTTAACGCTTAAAAATGTAAATGAATTTGACTGAAGAATACAAGCATTTGACCCACGCTGTCCTCGCCCCCTGCCACCGCTTGCTCTAAGGGCTGGTAGTCCTTACGTGAACAAAATCCTTCCTATTATTAACATTGGAATCTATGTCTTCACAACTTGAAGGATGTAAACCCATCCTTTTATTAAGGACAGTTGGCAGAGTTTAAACAACAGCATTCTTAAAGACCGTGCTTCTGTTCCACAGTTCAAAGGCACGTTCTCTAAGATGAAACATAGCAGTTGGGGGAAAGGGTCCCAGAATTTCGAATTAAAACTTGTTTCGTGTTTTCTTCCAACATTTACATTGATGATGGGGACTTTTTTTTAAGACATATTTCATGATTCACGAGGGTTCAGCTGAGAGAGAGGAAGAAAAGGTTCTTAAGTCCTACCCGTTTGCCTGGTCATGTGGAAGCAATGGCCCAGACCTCTGGGACGGTGTTTCCCCATCATTGTATAAAGCACTGGATTTCAGATCTTTGCTTCGAAGGTGAGGGAAGATGAATGATGAAGGTCGAGTGTTTATTCTCATGGATCTGAAGCAAACCTAGTGTTATCTCGTGCCCTGGCCAAGGAGAGTCTGCCTTCGGCTCTGAGTGAAGCCTTGGTCCCCGCTGGGACCACGATCATTCCACCAGGGAACAGAACTGTGGCTGAGCCTACGGGCTCTTTTTGCCCATTTTTTCGTGAAGTTTTCGTGAAATTTCAAATTACCTGTTTAATAATATTCTTCACAATTAATATTTGGAATAATTAATGTCCAGATCAAAACATACTTGTCATTAACTACTGC